TAGTATATTTGCCAGGAAATTATGATGATCCTTAAGAACAATGTAAACTTGGAGCTGCCCACAACTTCCCTGACACAATGAGAGCCTACACAGGGTAAAGAAGAAGAAACATGATAAAAAAAAAAAAAAAAAAGGTGGCGTAGGGGAGAGAGGAGGAGGAGTGAGTTCTGACAATATTACCTAAACTACTAGAGCTACACTGGTTACTTACAGACATTTAGATATATAAATATATGCAAATGTATATATTTGTTTTGTGGTTTAGCCAGGTAAGTTGAGTTTCTATAATACATGCTACAGAATTTCGAAGATGTCTTCCTCATTTTTGTTTTCGAATCTTTGTTTAGGTTGCATCCTCTAACCTTCAAAAAATTATTCATTTTTAAAGGCTAAAGTCACTAAAACCTTTCTGAAGCATTCCTAAATTACTTGAGTCCCCTATTACTGCAATTTATATTAACACTCTATAGCAGATATTCTCTGTGACCATAATTTTAGCATTGTCTTACATAGCTTTATGTTAATTATTTTGAACCCACAATCCAAACTAATAAAACCAGTACTCTTACTTGAAACGTGCTCCAAACCATCCTACCATTGTGCCTCTGCTTATACAATTTTCTTTCCCTTCCCTGTATCTCTTTAACACCAGCCTAAAAATACAGTGATTTGTACTATTTTCTTGTCTGAAAATATTTACTGCTTAATGAAAATACTTTAGTGTTAGGATCATAGTAATTAATTCTAATATATAATGAGTCATGCAATTGTTTTTAAAATAAATTATATCTTAAGTTAAAATAGTTCTTGATAACCTAGTGTCTTTACTTTTTAAGTAAACAGTAACACTAATAATCATTAATACCTAATGTCTTTAAGAGGCATGTATTATTTTCAAAAACTTTTAACTATTAATTTAAAAAACACTTCACAAACACAAAAACTAACCTCAGGTCCTGAATGTATAGTCAGGAAACTTTCCACAGCAGTCAAAGTACCTGTAAGAGTAGGAAAATGGTAAAAGTAAAATCAAATAAAGTCTATTTGCCCAGGACAAGTAGTAATAAACAATCTTGATTCATTCAGGAACCATTTTCACTGAGATTACACTGAGATAATCAGAGGACATATTCCGAGAATACAGTTTTACTACATTATTATAAGAAGGCTTAAAAAGATGCTGAAGCTTCTGCATTGTTTTTCAATGTGCTACCTTTCAAGAAGACTTTTTTAAGGATGACTTACAATGAAAGAAAATGCTATCAAGACAGCATGTGTGATGGTTTCATAATACTTACAAGGCTGCTAAAGTAAAATACAGTATCTATAGGATAAAAATATAAAACTTAAGCCAAAAAAGGGGGAGAAATCAATATACTAACCCTGAAGTATAATGGCTAAGTATTAATCTTTTAATTTCTCAAGACAAAACAAAATTGGGCTGTGGTGAATTCCTAAAATGTGACAAAATGAAATACGAGAATGAGTCAAATATTATCTGCAAGCTGATTATACTAAAACACCCGTCCATGTCCATGGCCGATGACAACATTGACCATGCACATGCAATGATTCTGTCAAATAGATGAGTGACACTGAATTATGTGGCAAATCATGTGCAAATCAGCCATGGCTCTACCTATAAAATAATACATGAGAAACTTGGGTTTCAAAAAGTTTTTATGAACTGGGTACCAAAACAACTCATGGAAGAGCATAAACAGAAGCATCTGAACATCTGCAAACAAAATTTGAACTGATATGCAAAAGAAGGTAAAAGTTTCTTTTAAAAATATCATTACTTGTGATGTGACACGGATTCATCACTATGAGCCTGAGAGTAAACGACAGAGTATGGAATGAAAAATCCTCAATCAGCGACCTAGAAAAAGTCAACCATCAGCTAGAAAATTGATGCTTATAGTTTTCTAGGATTCTCAAGGGCCAGTCTGGGAACACTATAAGGGAAATGGTCAGCTATCAACAGTGCTCATTACAGTGAGATGCTCACTGAAGAGCTGAAGTCTAAACTTCAGATTAAATGCAGAGGACTGCTATAGGCATTGTGATCTTGCATGACAGTGCACGTCTGCACACCTCTCCTTACACTGTTGACACTCTGCAAAAACTTTGTTGTAAGGTGCTAAAGCCTTCTCCCTATCGTCATGATCTTGTTCCATTGGACTTTCCACCTGTTTGCTCCCCTGGAAACAGCCCTTTGAAGATCAAGATTCACCTCTGATGATGAAATGAAGACAGCGGTGCATTTGTGGCTCGCAGCACTGCCTAAAACATTTGTTAATAATAAGGAATACAAAATCTTGTTGACAGATCAACAAGTGTACTGAAAAGCAAGAATATTATGTTGAAAAATGATGTATCTGTCTTTTCTCAAAGTTAATTAAAATAAATTCCACAGCCAGAGTGCAGATGATTTTTGACTCACTCACATATATTAATTCCTTAAAAGACACTGTTCCTTGTTTTAATTAAAAACAAAACAAAACAAAACATGGAACCTTACAAAGTTAACACTGAGCAAAGTAACAAGTGCCCACATTATCAACAAGGATGTATAGCAGATAATAACTATAGCAACATCACTATCACTAGTCAAATCACTGACCCAAGCCAAGAACATGTCATTGACACAACTCACTGAAAATAATTCTGAGGGTTGTTGACGGAATGTAACCCTATAGACCACCTAAAGAAGTATGTAATAACATGTAAGCCATCTGCACCAAAATTCACTTGGAGTACTTGTTACCAGGCTGATTCCCCGGTTTCAGTATCTAAAAATATTTAAGTAAACCTTAAAGCAGTATTTTTCTCTTAAGAAAAATTTTTTAAAAAACTTATTCAAAGTAACAAAAACTATGAAATACTTAGGAATAACTTCAATAATATATGGGACTACTATGAGGGGGAGGAGTCTTAGTGCAGCGCACTGGGTAAAGCATTGGACAAGGTTGGTTTCAACCCTAAGGTTGGTGGTTCAAACTCAACAGCTACTCCTTGGAAACCCTACACAAGGTCACTAGCAATTGGAACCAATTCTACGGCACTTTACAACAACATTATAAAGCGGAGCACAGTGGCTCCACAGGCATAAGCACTGGACTGCTAACCATAAGGTTGGCAGTTCAAGCCCACCAGCCACTCCATGAGTGGGAGATGAGGCTTTCTGGTCCTGGAAAGATTTACAATCCTCATAAACCCTGTACAAGTTTACTATGAGTTGGAACTGACTCAACAGCATATAACATTATGAATTAAAGAGTCCTGGTACTTCAATGGCTAAAGCACTGGGCTGCTAAACAAAAGGTGCTAAACAAAAAGCAGTTCTGCAGGAGGAAAATGTGGCAACCTACCTCTGTAAACATTTACAGCCTTGGAAACCCTTTGGGGCAGTTCTAGTCTGTCCTGTAAGATTGCTATGAGTCTGAAACGACCTAACAGCTGTGGCTATGGTGTAGTTTTTATTATGAAAAAAAAAAAAAAAATTCAAAACGCCAAAAACTTGAACACTTTTTTAATAAATGAAAATACACTATGTATAAAGATTAGAAAATTGAATATTTTAAAGATGTTTAATTCACATCTTTTTATTGGACTTGTTCTAGTATTTTGTTATTAAGTATTATGTTGGCTATGTATTGCTTTCTGACATTAAGAAATTTAACATCAGTATGCTATTGTTAGGTGCCATCAAGTCAGTTCTAACTCACAGTGGCCTTGTACAGTTTCCTAGGCTTTTACTTGTTGCAGGAGCTGAAAGCCACATCTTTCTCCTGTGGAGTGGCTGGTGGGTTGAACCACCAACCCTGTGCTTTGCAGTCTAGTGCTTATCCACCATTCTCCATTAAATCATATGATTTACTGAGACAGACAGATAGCTTTTTACCTTTGATCTTCTGATGTGATGATTATGTAACTTCTTCAAAATATTAAACCTTGACCATGATTCATGATTTTTTTAAATGTTACTAAATACAAAGATTTCACTTTTAGTTTTTTTCACTTATAATTTTGCAAAGAATTCTTTTTTTGTGTGTGTTATCTTTGCTGAGCTTATGAGATCCATCTTTTTAAGCTCTAAAACAGTTTATGTGGCACTGGAGGTTAACTGTTTCCAGTCATTTTCTAAGATCATCTTTATTAAGATGATACTTTTAAAATATGCATGACAGTAGTAACTTCCATTGTTTTACCATAATGTTTCACTACAAACTGATGATTTCTGCCATTCTTAAATTGTCTGAATTTCTTTATGGGGTAAAAAGATTACCAATTCTTTGTTGAATATCTTCTAACTTTGTTCACAACGTTTAAACTTTTTAATTAAATTGTTATTGTTGTTAAATGATGTTGAGTAGGTTCTGACTCACAGTGACCCTGTATGGCGTTTCTGAGGAATGGCTAAATTTGAATCTCTGACCTTGATGTTCAAATTGACCTTGTGGTCAAGTGCTTATCCTACACCAGGACATACCTGTTTAAATTAAAAATTTTTAGTGTTCATTCCTAAACAAAACAAGTTTGAATTATAAGGCCTGTCAATTATTTTCCAGAAAATTTACAGCTTTAATAACTAACGGAACCCTGGTGGTATACTCGTTAAAACACTGGGGGAGGGGGGAGAGCAAGCTGAAACATTGGCAGTTTGAATCCACCAGTCACTCCATTGAAGAAAAATGTGTAAGTCTGGTTCTGTAAAGATTTACAACTTCAGAAACTCTATGGGGCAGCTTTTTATCCTACAGGGCCACTGTGAGTCTGAATCAACTTGTTATTATGCTTTGTTGTTGTTGGTAAGTGCCTTCGAGTTGATTGCAACCCATAGCGACCCTGTATACAGGGTTTTCGAGGAGCAGCTGTTGAACCTGAACCACTGACCTTGCAGTTCTAATGGACTTGCAGCCTGGTACATTAACCTAGAGCGCCACACCAGGGCTCCTGCTATTAGGTTTTAATCATAACTAAATTGAGACATTACTCATTTCAGAATATTTACACTTTTGAAGTCTTAAAAAACAAGTGTCAATAGCATTTTCTTACGGATATAGCTATAAGTAAAAACAAAGCATGTATTTTAACATTACTCATTTCTTGCTATATTTCTTTTCCCAACTAGATTTTACATGATTGCAATTACAAACATGAAGGCTTTCTATTACTAAACTCAATTATTTCTTACTAATAATCAACGATTACCGTTCATTTTATTTCGGGTATATAATACTCCCAGGTCTGCTGGAATGGAGTCAAAGCCACTGCTTCCAATGATATAAACCCCCTTTTCTGCAGCTTTCTCGTGATACTTCCAATACATTAGTTCCAGAAACTAAAGAAGTCCAGGACAAAAATCTCAATCAGAGCTATACAGAAACACTCATTTCATTTAAGACAAACTTTGAAAACAGTAATAATACTTTACAGTGAAATATTAATTTTTAAAACTTATTTAGCAAATATTTACTGTATGGTACCATATGCTAAATAATGAGGAACATATACAATTCTAATGAAACTATTAATTTAATGACTTTTCTTTTAGAATGATTTTTAAAAATAAAATATTATGAAAATTACACAGAAAACATATTTTGAAAAGAAAACAACGTATCCTCTTACAAATATACAAATAAAAACTGTATTACCCAGATGACTATCATTGTTGTTAATAGCTATATATCTATGCATATATAGAGACAAGTGAATGGATAGAGGGGGAAGAAAGAGTAGTAACAGTCTTCTCCTTAAAGGCAAAATAGCTACATAAACTATTTGGAATTCTTCACAAGAGAGCTCTCTTCTATCCCCTTTGCCCAAGGAGCCTGGTAGTATAGTGGACTACGAGCTAGGCTGCTAACCGTAAGGTCAGTACTAACCATTCAGTGGGAGGAAGATAGCCTTTAACTCCTGTAAAGATTTACAGCCACAGAAATCCTACACAGAGTCACAATGAGTCGGAACCAACTCAACAGCACAGCACACCACCACCACCATTACTCCCTTTGCCCACTCTTTTAATGGGTTAATTATCTATTACTGTGCTAAAAGAGTTCTTTAAATATTCTGGATCTTTATTTGGTTTTGCTTTCACTTTTATACACCTACGGTCTGTCAGTTTGTTGAACTGTAGTGGCTTGTGTGTGGCTGTGATGTTGGAAGTTATGCAAACAATATTTTAAATACAAGAAAGGACACTCATGGTGGAAAGGCTTCAGTGGAGCTTCTAGACTAAGACAAACTAGAAGAAGGAGAAACAGACTATTTCTGGATGCTTAGACACTGAAAGCCTTATGGATAGCAGCAGAACACTTCCAGATCCAGTTCCAGAAGGCAAAAACATTATGACTAGTACCAGGAATACTGTCAGATAAGAGTGCTGGAAGATGAACCCCTCAAGTTCGAAGTCACTCAAAACATTACTGGGAAAGAGTTGCTTCCTCGACACAGAGCTGAATGTAATCACACAAATGGAATAAAGCTTTTGAAACTTTCATTTGCAGGTGGGTGCAACTGCAGGTAGGTGCAACTCAAAATGAGAAGAAACAGCTGCAAACATCTACTAATAATTGGAACACAGAATGTACAAAGTATGAATCTAGGAAAATTAGAAGTTATTAAGAGTGAAATGGAAATCAAAGATTAATAGCCTAGGTATTGGCCATTTTGAATTTGCCAATTTCATGGATTACAAATGCTGGGAACGACAAATTTAAGAGAAATGGAATAGGATTCATCATCAAAGGAACATTTCAATATCTTGAAGTACAATGCTGTCTGTGATTGGATAATACCCATACATTTACAAGAAGACCAGTTAATGACTATTATTCAAATTTACACACCACTCACTAAAGCCAGTGAAAATGAAAACTGAAGTTGTCAAAGACTTCATTTTGCTTGAGTCTACAATCCACATGCACAGGAGCATCAGTCAAGAAATCAAACGATGTATTGCATTAGGCAAATCTGCTGCACAAGACCTATTTAAAGTGTTCAAGAGCAAAGATGTTAGTTTGAAGACTAAGATGCACCTGATTCAAGCCATGGTATTTTCAATACTCTCATCTGCATGTGAAAGTTGGACAATTAATAAAAAAAAGACCATAAAATAATTGATCCTTTCGAGTTACGGTGCTGGAGAAGAATATTCAAAGTACCATGGACTGCCAGAAGAACACACAATTCTGTGTTGGAAGAAGTGAAGCCACAACGTTATTTAGAAGAAAGGATGGCTAGATTTCGTTTCTCATAATTTGGACATAGTATCAGGAGGAATCAGTCCTTGGAGAGGGAAATTATACTTGGTAAAATGGAAGCTCAACAAAAAAGAGGAAGAACCCTCAAAAACTGGATTGGCACAGTAGCAGCAGCAGTGGGCTCAAGCTAACAATTGTGGGGATGGTGCAGGACCAGGAAGTGTTTCGTTTTGTTGTGCATAGAGTCTCCATGAGTCAGAACCAACTGGATGAAACCTAACAACAACAAAATCACTCTTACGGTTGCTATAAGATGAACTGGAGTCCTGGTGTGGCACTGCAGGATAACACAATGGACTGCAAGGTTAGTTTAAACCACAAGTTCAGCAGTTCAAACCCACCAGCTGCTCCAAGGAAATTCTATACAGGGTGGCTATAGGTAGAAAATGACTCGACAGCACTTAACAACAACATAGGATGAATTAGAAAACATTCACCACTTTCTGTGTTTTGGGATATTTCAAATAACAAAAATTGTGTTGTTTTTCTTTGCCTTTCATTCATGTTTTTTACCTCATGATTCAATTTTGGTAATTTATATTTTCTAATAAATATTTCCAACTAATAAACTCGAAGGATGTACTGACACACAGATAATGACCCGTACAGGATATAGAGACATATGGGTTATAGGTGCAGTTAGTGCTTCATAGACCACTTCCTGGTACATTACAATAAGTACTGGAGTGCTAACTTCAAGGTGACATTTCAAACCCACCAGCTGTCCCACCGTAGAAAGATGAGGCATTTGCTCCCATAAAGACTTGTTGTTGTTGTTAAGGGCTGTCAAGTCAGTTCCGATCCATAGCAACCCTGTATAGTGTTTCCGAGGAGCAGCTGGTGAGCTTGAACCACCAACCTTGCAGTTCAAAGAGCTTTGCAATCTGGCGCATTAATCCATAGAACTACTTCAGGACTCCCATAAAGATTTACAGCGTCAGAAATCCTACACAACAGGGTGGCAATTCATCAGAATTTACTCAGTTTGGGGTTTTCCTGCTGTCAGGCAAACATCAATTCTAGTGCTATATTTCTTCAGCACTCTAGTTGCAGGGTTCTGAGAAAGTTATTTAACCTTACACGTCCTGGTGTGGCACTGCAGGATAATGTGCTGGACTGCAAGGTCAATTTGAATCTCAGAGTTGGCAGTTTAAACTCATCAGCCACTCCTCGGAAACCCTATACAGGATTGCTATGGTTAGGAACAGACTCAAAGGCACGTAACAGCAGCAGCAGCAAGCTTCAAAATGAGTATGGGTGTGATGCTGTGGAATAAAGTAGTGGACCACAAGCTCGATTTGAACCACAAGGTCAGCAGCAGATCAACTCACCAGCCGCTCCTTGGAAACCCTGTACAGGGTTGCTATGAGTCATAACCAACTTGATAGCACTTAACAACAACAAAAAAGCTTCAAAAAGAACATTTTAAGACCTATCTTACAGTACAATGCTATTGGTTCCGGTTTGGGTGGTGGTAGAGGCAGCAAGGTAGGAAAGGCTCTGTGGGGTAGGGATTGAAAACCCAGAGAAGCTGCGCTCACGGAACACCACCAGAGCTCAGGATCTAGAGTGAGGTCCAGAGTGTCAGTTTCCCATACGTGCAAGTGAAAAAATCACAATATAAATGAAAATTCTGCAAGTTAGGAATCCAGATGGGACTCCCTCTGTGGCCACCCGGCCCGACGGCGTTCAGAGGGCGGGGCTACAACCAGATCAGCACAGGGAATGGGCGCTAAAAGTGGTGTAGGGACATTTGCAAAAGGAGGTGTGGGGGATTCTACATATTTTTCCCTCCTTTTCCCTGTCACGCCTTCTTTGCCCAGCCCAGACGCCTTCAGGTGGGTGGGTGCACACCACCAAAAAAAGTCCAGCACTGACCCCACAGTTTTCCCACAGTCCAGAGAAAAAGAGCTTGGTGGCTGCTTATGACGTCAGCCTTGGGGTCCCAGCCCTAAAATTAACTTATGCAGGACCCTTTACTCCCGCCTATTTAGCAAGAAAAAACCAGGCCCGTCAGGCCTGACAGAACAATCTGTAAAACCCGAACATAAAAGGACACAACTATCTCGAGAATTACATACACTATGTACATGCAGATACCTAACTGACCTTCAGAGACAAAAATAGTAGACAATCTTTTTAATTTCTCAATATCTATCTGCACACCTCTACAGTGGTGTGAAAATTACACAAACAAAAGTAGACAAAATACATGATTGGGACATACTAAAATTAAAAACTTATGTGTATCAAAGACTTCACCAAAAGAGTAAAAAGGAAACACACAGAATGGGAAAAAATCTTTTGCAACAACACACCAGACAAGGGACTCATTTCTAAAATATGTAGGAAACTACAACACCTCTAAAAGAAAACGACAAACAACCCAATTAAAAAATGGGCACAAGACATGAACAGACACTTCACCAAGGAGGAGATCTGGGCAGCCAACAAATATCTGAAGAAATGTTCACAATCACTAGCCATCAGAGATATGCAAATCAAAACAACAATGAAATGTCATCTCACACCAGCAACAACAGCAAAGATTAAAAAAATAGAGGGCAAGAAATGCTGGCGAGGATGAGAGAGACTGGGACCCTCCTACATTGTTGGTGGGATTGCAAAATGGTCCAACCATTCTGGAATGCAATATGGTGCTTCCTCAGAAGGTTAGAAATAGAAATACCTTATGATCCAGCAATTCCTATACTTGGTATTTACCCACAAGAAACACGAGCCATAACACGAGTGGATATATGTTCACAGCAGCACTATTTACGATAGCAAGAAGATGGAGACAGCCTAAGTGCCCATCAATTGAAGAATGGATAAACAAACTGTGGTACATACACACAAAGGAATACTATGCTACCTTGAAGAACAACAAGGAAGCTGCAAGCCACCCACATAACAGGAATGAACCTTGAGGACATTATGCTGAGTGAAATCAGTCAGTCGCAAAATGAGAAATACTGCATAGAACCATTATTGCAAAAGACTAAAAAAAAAAAGAACCCACATTAAAAGGGGGAAAAAAATTACATACATATATATATATTTGATGATCACC